ATAGTTAAAAAACAAAACAAAAAAAAAACACTCTTTTGTGCCTCACTGAGATAGTTCTCGAGTGGGTGTGGACACCAGTCGCACAGACCGACGCCACTTCGTTACTCCATTGGACTCGTGTCTATCCAATCACCTGGGTCAATGTCAAACGACGCCTCAGTAAGCGGAAAGTTAATTTTCCAATGGTCGAAAGAAGAGAACGCCAAGAGAAACTCCTCGTACAAAACAACCGTCGCCACCGTTGTCGGGATAACACGGCATAGATTCACATGAAGGCCTCTGTAGAGACCACGAATACCTTCAGTACGCCAAATGGTACTGAATGCCCCCCACATCGAATCATACCCCTTCAAAGAACGGTGGTGTAGGTCCTGCAGGCGAGTTCGCACAACCTCAAGAGGATTACATATTGCTGAGGCTGCCGCCTTTGAGGCTGCCGACGCAGCCACCACCTCTATAAACGAGGGATGAGTTTCATCCTGGAAAAACCCGCGCTTTAAGGTCTCGTAGAGGCTTACCTGAATTGTGGTGCCTCCGGTCAAAAGGATTTGTGGTCCAAGAGCGCGAAGTAAAGAAGAGAACCCTTCCCTTTTTACAATATTTCTTATTCCGCCAAAGACACCGCGCGGTTTGCCGTAGGTGTCCATTTCGTACAACTGTCTACGAGTTTTCAACAGATTCAGCGGTGTAATAACAATACCAGTAATTACAGCGGCCACGCACGCACTCAAAAAGTCCCGCAAAGTTTTACCGCTGCTACTTTGGCTATTGCCTGTGGCAGAAGCCGTTTTGTTTTCAGAGTTAAACAGTTTCTGCTGTGCTGCTCTAAAAGTCAACAAATACAACCCCCAAGCAACACCGTAGGCAAACATCGACACAGTGATACCGCTATACACCCCTCGCCACCCTTCGTCCCGAATTATTTGCCGTGCCGAACGCAGGGGAAAGTTGCCACCCCCTTTATATAAGTGCCTACGTGTCCGGAGGAAGTCCAAGGGATAAAAAAGGGCCATAGATACAGATGCACCAAGAATGCCTGCCAGACCATGTACCCAAGGCCCCACTGGAGTACCGAGGGGCGTACACGTTGCAGTTATCCCTTGCTCACGTGGTTCAAGTGTCGCCGCCATTGCTACGTACTTGTGGCAGCCCACTATTCTGCTGGATATAGTTGCTCACCACACCCACGCTCTCTGCGCTATATGGATGGGTGAGTGAATGAAGCAATGGGTCCGCGCCAGTCCAGCGTTGTGTGTTGAAAACCGTGGAAAAGTTACCGCCAGGCGACGGTGGCGCGAGAGAGAAGCGGCTGGGCACCTATTTCTCTCCACCAGGGAAGCGGCAGAGCACCGCCAGTGAGCCCGGCGTGTTGATCAGTACTTTGCAACTAAAACCACCCGCCCCCCGCCCCCCCAAGAAAAAAAAAAAAAAACCAGAGGAATGTATGCGGTGCCACATTACAAAGGCGAGTCAGCCGGCAGGAAAACAGGGCTCAACGAAAGAAAGAACCAAAAAACAGCAACAACAACATCAACAGCAATAGAGTGGTATACGCTTTATTTTTCCGTTTACGCCAGAAAATTAAAAGGATGCAAGGGAAGAGACAGCAGGGGCGTTCCATCGTACTCTTTTTTTCCCCTTAAATCGCCACGTGCACACAGATCGACGCGATGGTCAACAAAGAGCGCCAGATATGGTCCGTCCGCACCCAACGATCAGTAAGGCGTGGCAAGGAAAAAAAAATGGTGGGGGTGCAAAGGGCACCGCTCAGTGGCCGAGCGCGCAGGACGATGTGGAGTGGGTACGGCTGGGCTCAGCCAAAAATATACGCCTTGCGACGGGATAACAGATAAAAATATATACCATTTTTATTCGAGTTGCTGCCCCCCCCCCACCCTTTGTCGCACAGTCGTGTGCGCCTTGATCTCCCTCGTTTTTCCTAGCAATTTCTTTCACACGCCGTCAAGATATACAATTTCGTGAGTTGCCCTCATCAAAGAGGAAAAAAAAAGACACATATCATTGTAACTCCGGCCAATTGTGGGATTCTCGTCCCTCTTTATCCAGCCGTTCGTATCCGTGGCGGCCAAACACGTCCCTTTGCAGTGATACAAGTTGACCGTATTTAAGCGTCGGCGTGAACATCCCATTGACGTACACCAGAGAGGCGGAGAGAACAGGGAGCGTCAGGGCCGTCTTGGACGTGACGAGAGCCAAAATATCGCGGTAGCTCTGCAGCCCTTCCGCTATTTCCTTTTCAAAGGCACACATCAGATTGCTCAGATTTGCATTCTTCGTAAAGGCCTCGGTCATTGGCTTGAGTAGATACCCCTTCAAAATACAACCGGCGCGGAAAGTGGCAATGGTGGCTGGCAAGTCCAACCCAAATTCATACACCTTGTCCAGAGCGCGGAGACATTGGAACATTTGCGCATAACACGCGATGATCGCAATGGAAACAGCATGATAGAGTTGTCGGATTTCTGGTGCGTTGGGGCGTTTGTCCTGTATTGCGTGGCCAGAAACCTTGAGAACAAACGGGAATGCCTTTGCGTTTGCCTCACGTTCAGACTTGTACATTGTCATCTGCCGCGACAACACTGCCATGTTTAGGCTTGGGGCTGGGACGCCAACTTCTAGCGCCTCCTGTGCAGACCACAGGCCTGTGCCTTTCGAACCAATGCAGTCCTTGACGTGCTCGGAAAGATAGCTGCCATCCGCAACCTTGGCCCGCGCGGCGACAATGGAAATGTCAAGCATATACGACGTCAGGAACCCCCGAGCCTTCCAATCCTCAAGGACGTCGGCCACCTCGTCGTTGTTTAGCCCCATTGCAAGAAGAATATCAAAGACCTCGCCCCACACCTGCAGAATGGCATACTCCCCAGCGTTATGATACATCTTCACACAGGAACCAGCCCCACCACGGCCATTCATGGTGACACATGGACGCCCATCATCTGCTTTTGCAGCGGCGGCCTCAACCACGGGTTGGATTTCCTTCCAGACACTCAGCGTACCACCGGGGAAAAATGCAGGACCTTTTCGGGCGCCCTCTTCACCACCTGAAATTCCCATGCCGAGAAAACGCAAACCGGCCGCCTCAAGCTCTTCAGCCCGGCGGGTCTGATCCTTGAAGTGTGCGTTGCCAGTGTCTACAATAATGTCGTCCTTCTCCAGAACGCTCTTCAACTGCTCAATCGTCGCGTCGGTGGCTGCACCAGCCTGGACAAGAATAAAAATCTTGCGTGGTTTTTTGATGGCCGTGACAAAGGAATTCATCGTCTCGAATGCCCTGAGATTTGCCGCAAAAGAAGCCGCGGCGTGCTCTTTCATAAAGCTCTCGGCCTTGGCGTAGGTGCGGTTGAAAACCGCCACGCGAAATCCTTTCTCCGCAATGTTTAGTGCCAGGTTGGCGCCCATGACACCCAGCCCGACAATTCCAACGTCCATCGACATTTTTTGTTCTCTTTCTTTCTTTCTTTTTTTCGATTCTTTGCACGAAAAAGGAATATAGGTTTTTCACTCTATTTTTCTTCCGTTTTCCTTGTCCCCTTGGGCCCTGATGAAATAAAAATATGCAATAAGACCACAACG